CCACTACATAATTGTCCTTAACAATTCCTACATGGTAGTGGTTTTTGTAAATTTTTACCACCATCCAGTTATTTGTTATGATGGAGTAAAAATGGGTAAAATCCTAGTATACGTTTTGGATTGCATCAACCATACTGATTGGGGGTAGTAGAGGAATCGTGATTTGGGAAAACTTCCAATTCTGTTCCGGCCGGTGCAACCCTAATTCTGGCTACCTCACTATTCCTTATTTCTCCGCGAATCAATCGCTCCGCCAAAGGGTTCAACAATTTCTTGCCGATAAGGCGGTTCAAGGGTCTCGCGCCGTATCGAACATCGTAGCCCTTCTCGCTGAGCCAATCCTTCACTTTAACATCTATGTCTAGTTTGATCCGGCGATCGTCAAGCTTTGCCTGCAATTCCTTCAATCGAACATCAACAATATCCCGAATAGCATCCTTCGAGAGTCTCCGGAAAATTATAAATTCGTCAATCCTGTTTAGAAATTCTGGTGGGTAGGAATGCTGCACAATATCCATGACCTGCTGCTTGGCAGCTCGCGATAATGCGATGTCTGAGGATGGATCATTGATAAGGATGTCTTGGCCGAGGTTGGACGTGAGAACTATGATTGTGGAACGGAAATCGACCTTCCGACCTTGAGCATCTGTTAGGAAGCCTTCGTCAAGGACCTGAAGGAGCAACGAGGAGATATCCTTATGAGCCTAATATAGAACAGTCAGCGCTCGACCTCACCCATGGGTGATATCAGGCAAGCCTTTTCAAATTCATCGAACAACAGGACTGCATAAGGCTTTCTTCTGACGGCTTCTGTCAATTGACCCGCATCTTCGTAGCCGACATAACCAGCTGGGCTTCCAATCAACCGACTGACGGTGTGTTTTTCCTGAAACTCGCTCATATCGAATCGGATAACTACGGTCTCGCTCGAGAATAAGGTTGTCGCCAACGCTTTGCACAATTCTGTCTTTCCAACACCCGTGGGGCCTAAAAACATGAAACTGGCGGTGGGGCGATGATCGCTAGCTAATCCAGCGCGCTGAAGCCTGACGGCATCAGCAACCGCCTTGAGGGCGTCGTCCTGTCCACGAACTGACTGGCGAAGAGCGTCCTCGAGATGCACTAGTTTCTCAGCTTCCCCAGACATAAGTTTGGTGGTAGGAATGCCCATGGCTTTAGAAACAACATGAGAAATATCGTCTGGGCCCACCGAATCATGTATAAGTGAGCCCTTACTCGCTTCGCCATCCTTGGGAAGCTTGGCCTCTAGTTCGAGAATCCTCGCGTATTGTAGCATAAAAGCTTTCCCGAAGTTGCGTTTTCTTCGACATATCTCAAGTTCAACCCTGGCGTGCTCTAACTCCCCCTTTGCAATTTTTATAGCCTGGAGCCCGGCCTTCTCTTCTTCCCAAACCTTCGTGAGTCCCTTGACCATTGCCTTCTTTTCTTTCAAAATGGCTTCAAGTTTCTCCTTTCGCTCCTTAGAGGCCACATCCTCCTCCTTCCGAAGTGACTCGAGCTCAATTCTCAGTGTCAAAATTGCATGATCAAGTTCATGAATTTCGTCGGGACGTGACTCTTGCTGAAGCCTCAATGCCGAAGCAGCCTCATCGACCAGATCGATGGCTTTGTCGGGTAGGAAACGATCGGTGATGTAGCGGTTCGATAGTGTGGCCGCGGAAACAAGCGCGTTATCGGTAATCCGGACACCGTGATGCACTTCATACCGATCCTTGATCCTATTGGGAGGTGGTAAGCGGCGAAATCACAAAAAGGAAAGGAAATGAGTCCTCATCTCATACCCTCGAAGTATACTGATCGTATCCTGAACACTAGGCTCATCAACAAGGATAGGTTGAAACCTCCGAGCTAAAGCCACATCCTTCTCGATTTGGCGATATTCATTCAATGTTGTAGCTCCACAGCACTGAAGCTCTCCACGACTCAGTTGAGGCTTGAGAAGGTTGGATGCATCGACCGAACCCGCTGCCTTTGGCAGGTCAAGCAGTGAATGAAGTTCGTCAATGAAAAGGATAACCTTCCCATGAGCTTCAGAAACCTCTTCCAAGACACTCTATAATAAAACGATGACCCTGTTAGTTTGGTGATGCTTATTGGAGATGGAGGGACAAAAACCATAAGCCTTTCTTCAAAATCACCTGTGAACCTAGTTCCGGCAATCAGCTGTCCTAAATCCAAGCTTACAACCCTCTTATCCTTCATACTTTCCGGCACTTGGCCACAGACAATCCGCTGGGCAAGGCCTTCTAGAATTGCAGTCTTCCCAGTTCCTGCCGAACCAATGAGGACAGGGTTGTTTTTCGTCCGCCTTGACAATACTTGGATGGTCCGGCGGATTTCTTCATCACGGCCAATGACAGGGTCCAGTTTCCCATCTCTAGCACGAGCGGTCAAATCTGTGCCAAATTGTTCCAGTGGCGGTTGTTGTTTCCCTATGACTCGAGTTAGGCGTACGGAAAGGGACTTCTGCAAAAGTTTT